CGACTCCCGATCGTCGAGGACCTTCTCCAGGAGCTGCAGGGATCAGTATTCTCGGTAATTGTCTTAAAAAAAGCCTTTTACCAGATCCCTATGGCAAAAGAAGACATCTCGAAGACCGCAGTGACGACTCCCTTTGGACTCTTCGAGTTCACTCGATCGTCTCTTAGTCAACGCAACGCCGCCCAGTCTCTCCAGAGGACGATGGACCATCTTCTCCGGGACCTGCCCTTTGCTAGGGCCTACCTGTACGATATCATCGTCGCCTCCGAGGACAACGAATCGCACCTGGTGCACCTCCGTCGCCTCTTCGAGTCCCTGCGCTCCGCTGGGCTCCGCATCAACCCGGCCAAGTGTGTCTTGGGGCAGACCGAGGTCACCTATCCCGGCTGGACGGTATCCAACCATGGCTTCAAACCTCCGCCACTGAAGGTCGAGGCCATCAAAGAGTTTCCGCGCCCGCAGACCTCCACCGAGCTGCGTCGGTACATGGAACTCTTCAACTATTACCGCCGCTGTGTCCCTAGGGCAGCCAACATCTTAGCTCCACTCAACGACCTTCTCCAGGGCCTGCCGCCCAGGAAAAAGAAGGTTAAGTTGACCTGGACGCTGGATGCAAAAGCTGCGTTTGCTCGCAGTAAGCAAGCTATCGCTGATGCCACGACAACGACGTTCCTGCGACCCGACGCTCCGCTGGCCCTTCGCGCGGACGCTTCCGACACGGCAATCGGAGCAGTCCTCGAGCAGCAGGACTCCAAGGGCACATGGGCTCCCCTTGCTTTCTTTTCTAGAAAGCTCGACAACACCGAGAAACGCTACAGCACCTACGATCAAGAGCTCCTAGCCATCTACGCAGCCTTGAAAAACCTGCAGCGAATCCTCGAAGGCAGGTCCTTCACGATCTTCACCGACCATAAGCCCTTGGTCTTCGCAGCGGCGCAGCGCTCGGACAAGGCCTCGCCCAGGCAAGCCCGTCAGCTGGATTTCATACTCCAGTTCAACACGAGTCTAGTCCACGTGAAGGGCGACGATAACGTGGTGGCCGACGCTCTCTCACGCGTCGCCACCATCTCCATGCCTGCCCAACTCAGCGCGAAGATCATCGCCGAAGCACAGGCCGAGGACCAGGAAGCCGAACATGTCTCTACTCCCTCGAGCCTCAACCTGCAGACCCTCTCGATCGACGACTGCTCCGTCCTCTGCGATACGTCCATGGGAGTCGTCCGGCCTTATCTCCCACGGGCTCTTCGACGCACAGCATTCGAGCTTCTCCATGGTCTCGCTCACCCGAGCGTAAAGGCCACGACCCGTCTTGTCGCTTCCAAGTATGTCTGGCCAGGCATGCGTAAGGAAGTTAGCCGTTGGGCGCGCACATGCGAGCCCTGCCAGCGTTCCAAAATCCACCGGCACAACAGGTCCGCCCTAGGCTCCTTTGAGGTCCCCGAGGAGCGCTTCCAGCATCTCCATATCGACATCATCAAGCTGCCTCCGTGTCAGGGTTATACCTACTGCCTGACCATCATCGACCGGTTCACCCGATGGCCAGAAGCCATCCCCCTGCCCGACCAACAGGCATCAACCATCGCCAAGGCTCTCGTCGACAGGTGGGTTAGCCTCTACGGCACGCCACTCACGATAACAACGGACCAGGGCGCCCAGTTCGAGTCCGCCCTGTTCTCGGAGCTCACAAAGCTCCTCGGCGCCAAAAGGGTGCACACCACGCCATACCACCCGCAGTCCAACGGCATGGTGGAACGGACCCACCGCACCATCAAGGCCGCCCTCATGTGCGACCCCGGGACCCCATGGCCTGACCGACTATCGTTGGTCCTTCTGGGGCTCCGAACCGCCTACAAGGAGGACCTGCAAGCCTCTCCGGCCGAGATGCTCTACGGCACTACGCTCAGAGTGCCCGGGGACTTCTTCGCTACGGAGAGCCAGCCCGTCGCAAACCCTGCCACCTTCGTAGAAGGTCTCCGCCGACTCGCCCAGTCCATCAAGGCTGCGCCGGCTTC